AAAATCTCCTTATTTTATAATTTGTGGGTTTTCATTAATTAATTAATCGACAAATTATAAGTTTATGCAATTAATTTAATTAATTATCAAACGCAGATTTGCCTGATATAATATAAGGTGCCTGATTTATTATTCTAATTGAGATCTGGGATAATATACACCTATAATGACATATATTTAAAAATTTTAAATTTTAAAATTGAGGTATTAATATCATATGCTCAAAATTATGACATCTTATAATTTTATAAAATAATTGAATATTTATATATATTCATGCCTTAAAGTCTTTTTTTAGCTGGGGTACATATTTAAAATATTATTAAATAAATAAGGCTAAATATTTAATATTACTCGAACAATAAAATTTAGAATTAAAAAACTAATCATAATTATAATATAATATATATTAATCAATTTAATAATATAAAAAATGTGAAATGTGCATATTAAAATTATTTTTTTGGATAAGATAAGTGTTTAAACGATTGTTAAGCAATATTTATGCTAAAGAGGGGATATTTGGATCAAAACAAAATATCAAAACTACCATTTAATGGTCAACTAACTAGTGATAGACCTAGGAAAATTTACTAGAGGGCACAAAAATTTATAATAAATATAAATATTAATATTTTTGAAGAAAATATAATTCTAAATATTAATTAAAATAATATATAAATAAATTATATGAGAAGTTTAAAATACATAGGTTAAAGTACTTTTTTAATTTTATAAAGTATTTTTTAGTCATTTAACTCTAATACTGTTAATTATCAACAAGAAATTTATACATTAAACTTTTAAATATTAACAATATATTTCCAAATATTGACAGATTAAACTTAATTTTTTAAAATAAAAATAATTTTCATGAAAAATAATCATTCTAATCTAATGATGTTAAGGATTAGAGGATTAAAAAGACAATTAAAGAATCAAATTAAAGTTTATATAAAATTAGAGGATAAAAAATATACTTTAGCCAAGTACATATTATTGTAATTTGTATCATAAGTTTATTTTTATAATGAATGTGAGAGTAAAGAATGTTTTTAAATGTGTATGCTTGGTAATTTTAAAGAGAATGTGCGATAATTAATTTTTTTATGGGGGCAGTTGTAATTTTAAAGGGGGGGCAAATGTAATTTTAATTAAACCTTAAGTAAAATTTCTACTTTTTAAATGGGGGAATTGCCCCCTCTATATTAATTAGAAGTGAGGCTTGTGTAACATGTATTTTGATTTTAAGAGAGGTCTATATAGATTTTCAAAATAGAAGAAGGTCTTTGTAATTTAAATTAAATAGAGGAAAAGTTAATGTAGTTTACTCTTACACTATTATAAGATAGGCTTTCAATAGTAGGTAAAAATACTTTTAACATCGGTTCATGTCATAATCAATGTTAAAAGCTTAACATCGATTATGGCATGAACCGATGTTAAAAGAGGTTTTAAAAAAATTATTTTATTTTTAGTTGTTTCCTCAATTCCTACAAATAAAAATATTCTATATAATTTATTGCTAGCCAGCCAATTAATTACATATAAATAATTCAAATTTCAATATAATTCTATAAAAATTACACAAAATTCAAATTATCTTATACAATTTCTTAAAAAACTACCTAAACTTCACATACCATCCACAAAATATTGTACCCAATGTGTGAGGATGTCATCAACCTCAATGAATCCACAATATCAAACATCTATATTAAAGTATAAAATTACAATTAAAACATTAACTAATTAATTCAAGTAACAATAAAATTAGCTTTTAAAAAATATAGTTACCTCATTTATAAATTCAGTCATTTTTAATGTGATAATGTTGAGCATGTGTCTCATCACATACGCCACATAAACTACTCTTTGGTGATTGCTTGCGACTCTATATAAAATATATATATATATATATATATATATAAACAATTGAGAATCGGGAATAAATATTAACAATTGAATATGTTAATAAAATGTTAGTTTTAACTTACCTTTGGCTCAATCCATGTCAGATCCTTTAGTTCATGTGGGTGCTTTTTCAGGACCATCGTTTGATATATTTTCATTGCCATCTAATTAACATCACAAGATTTGTAACTAATATATCCGTAAAAATTAATAGTTTTTTTACAAGTATACTTACGAGTTTATCATTTTTTTATGTCTTTGTTTGGTTTGTAATGGAGGAAACATAAGAAGAGGACTGTGTTACTCTTCAATGAAAGAACAATCAGTTGCTTGTGGTTTCTATAAATATAGTGAGATATCAGAAGAAATCTACATTTAACAAAAAAAATTGTCAATCATAAATTGATCCTTATGAAGGCACATATGGAGCTATGAAAATATCCTTTTTAACTTCACATATTCGTTGTTGGAGATACCGGGACTTATTTTAGGAGTATTCTCTTTTTCCGTCATGTGATGAGCGCAAAAAATCCAAAATGATCACCTTTGCCCGATGTAATACATAAACAATGGAGGTACCTGCGATAATGCAATTATATTAGTTTGATTGATCTTGATAAATTCATTATATTTAAGTAAAACATATTTAAATATACTTATGGAGGCCTAGAGGGTGATGAGAGGGGAGTAGGGGCGAGGGCCGAGGGAGAAGGGGCTACAGGGTGAGGGAAGGGGTCTTAGGGTGGGGGACGATAAGGGAGGCGAAGGGGGGCCAAGAGGAAGTGGGGGGGGGGCCGAAGGGGGAGAGGTGAAGGAGGAAAGGCATACTTGGTGAAGAAGGAAAAAGATGAATAATTAGGAGGGGAGTGGGGCGTGGGTTTAGAGATAAAAAAAATTTAAAAAATTTTCAACAGCAGTGGTACTCCACCAGCTGTTGAAAAAGCACCTGAATTGCTGTTGAAAGACTACTTTCAACAGTGGGTGAAATCACTCGCTGTTAAAAATATTTGTTTTTTTTAAAATTTTAACAGCTTTCAACAGCAGGTGTAGTGCACCTATTGTTGAAAGAACTTTCAACGATGGTGGATTCCACCCGCTGTTGAAAGTGTTTGTTTTTCTTTTAAATTTTTTTAATGAACTTTCAACAGTGGGTATACAGACTTTTAACAACAGGGTGGAATCCACTTGCTGTTAAAGTTTTTGTTTTTTTAATTTTTTTTAATCAAGCTTTCAAAAGCGATGCATGGAACCCGCTCTTAAAGTGTTTGTTTTTTAAATTTTTTTAATGACCTTTCAACAAGGTGCCCTTCACCCACTATTGAAAATGAACTTTCAACAGCATTGGTGTCCACCCATTGTTGAAAGTTGTTTAAAATTATAAAAATACCTGCCTTTACTTTCAACAGCGGGTGCATGTTAATCAACGTTAAAAGTCCCCTATAAAATTCAAATTCTGCATTAGTGTTACTTTAATTAATGGGATACTTATGGCAGTGAGTTAGTATGATTAAAGGACTTGTTATCTATAATGTAACAAATGAGCTAAAAGTTCTACCAGACAAAGCTTATTTGCATTTTTAACCAATTTCCTGAATTAATTGACACATAATGATTTTATATTTAATATTTATAACAAAATAACTAATGTCTAATATTTGACTGAAAGTAATATTCGTAAAGCCATGTGATGGTGTATTCAAATACCTTCCTTTTTAACTTTTTAAGGGTTAAAGCATAACTCTCCGAGAAAGGATCAAAAACTTGAATAGCCGAATCTTCTGGAGAGCGGCCGACCCATTAAATGAATATCGATGGCTCAGGTTTTTGTAAAAGAAATATATATTTGGAGTTTCGGCTGCAAGTTAAAATTGAGAAAAATATAATATTTGATCTCCAAATTTATCATCAATTTGGGCACGCCGTGTAGTCAAACAAGAACTTGGGTAGTGCCCCTTTATATAGGTTTTCATAAAAGAATTAGTCCGTGAAATTATGATTAATGTTCTTGGATCGAATTGATGTGGTGTTTATATGATAACATTGTTTGATAACAATATCAACATTGACTAAGCTCAAATTTGGAAATTGGACCAAATTAAACTTGAATATTAATAGCATCGTTGATGTCCCTAACACGAGCATGCATGCTGGGAGTACAAAAGTCCATCATATCGAATAATGATCATATCAACACTCGCGAAGCAAAGTGCATCATTATATATATCTGTGACTGAGCCAATGTCTCTGTCACCCATTCTCTCCGATTTTTTTTTTTAATAAAACAAACACCCCCCGTCCAAAATAAAAAATATTTATGATATTTATCATATTAATAAATCATAATGTAAAAAGTAAAAAAGCACATATGAATGTGTGATGATGTCATTTGAATTTTAGGCAGGGGTGGAACCAAAAAATTTTATTAGAGGGGGCTGAAATGATAAAACATATGATAATAAAAAAAATTAAATATATATATATATATATATATCACTAACATAACATAAATATTTTAATGTATATATTTATATTTAATTATATATATATATATACCTTCATTTTTTAAGATTTTCTCATTAATTTTTCATTGTATAAGAATAATTAATTATCATATCTATGATAAAATTTTTTAAAATTTTATTTTCAATATAAACTATTATTCAATTGGCAAAGATTTCATTTTTCTCATAAACATTAAATAATTTAAATACATCATTGGGATATAAAATTATGCTCAATTTAAAAAACTTTATTACTTGCTCACTAAATTTACTATTTAATTCTTTAGGTCGATAAGATCTAAGTATGTCATAATAAAAATTATTTATAATAATTCTCATAATTTCATTTATTAAATATAAAATGAAAAGAAAATTAAATGACATTAATACTTTAAGAACAACTATAACATTATTTTTTAAAATAAATAAATTTTATGATAACTATATCTTTAAACTATTGAAATAATTAGACCACAAATACATAAAAGACTATGACTTGAAATGAGAATTTCATTTATTATTTTAAAATTTTTATAATATATTAACTTAAGAGGACTCTAAGTGTATAATTCTTACATTTTATTAAAAAAAAATTAAAAGGTTAGAGAGGGCCATGACCTCTGCTGCTGGTCCTTTCCTTTCTCTACCATAGGTGCACTGTACGGTAAAGTCTCCTCCGAAGTTTTGCGGTGGTATTCTTCCCAGGATTGTGCTGCCTTTGCTTTGTCAGTTGCAGATTCTGCAATAGCCTGTCGTACCACTCACAATCAACCCAAATGTATCAGATCCTTTACATCTCAATCTTACATTCTCACTATATTTAATCCTTCATAACATGATGCAAGGTTAAATAATAATTTTATCTTTAAATTATAGGTTTATAGACTTTTGAAATCTGAATTTATTTTTTACACAATGTTTTCTTTTAAAATTTGAAAACAATGCAATTAATGTCATCTCTAACGCTAATAAATATTAACTTTGATTGTTAGCTGATTAAAAAATTATAAAAAAAATATAAAAAATTATGAGAAAAGAATCTCAAGAACTATAAAAAAGGACAAAAAATTAGAAATTTTTATATGTTACTTATTTGTAATATTGACTATTTTTTGTAATTTTGAGTTTTTTATGTATTTTTTGATTAACTAAATGTGAAAGGTAACTTTTATTAATGATAAGGGCGATATTATAGTACTGTTTTTAAATATTGATGGGAAACATTATATCAAAAATGAGTTAGGGTTTTAGACATTCTTGAAATCATAATTTGAGAATAAAATTACCCTTTAACACTAACACATAATTTAATTATTTATAAATTACAAATATCATGACTTTTTGTTTTTAACTTCAAGACATTTTTAACTGTAAGAGGGAGGGGGAGAGGGAGAGGACAAACCTTGAGAAAATAAACTTTTTCCGGCGGCAGATCGGCCATCTGGTGGGCATCATTCACATTGAACAACAATAATAATAAAAGAATCATTTAATTAAATGAACAAGTTATTAATGGAATAACAACCACCGGTCTAGAGCGAAAGTAGTCCACTTACATCCTTCATTAGGTCCTGAATGGTTTTTTCGCTTCTTGGTATTTCCCCTGTTCATCAAGAGAGCAGGAATTAAAGCTTAAGAATTAAAATTATGAAGGAGATTAAAATTAATGCCATCATATCTATGTATATCTTCTATGTATCAATTTGTCAGTTTTCAAACGTGGAGGTCTCATTTGCTTACTAAAATAAAATGAAATAAATTAAAAAAATTAAAATTAAAATAAACTAAATCATCCTTTTCTTTGCAGTGAATAAAAACTCATCAACATATACTACAAATGTAAAATTATCATATCCTCTCAAACATTTATGAATTATAATTTCTAACCTCTTAAACTAAATTACTCTCCCCTTATAAATGTGCTCACCTATCCCTTTTAATCATTTAATTTTTTTTAAATCAAATTCATTTTATTTCTTTTTAATAAACAAACAGACCGAAATTTGTTATCAAACAATGGTTGTCAAAACGCAGAGAAGATTTGGCCAAAAAAACAAAACAAAAAAAAATCAAAAAACAAAACGAAGCGAAGAGAACGAAGATGCAGTAAATATTACAAATTATTTGAAACTGGTAACTGATTCATATCCTTAAAAAAATTAGTTGAAACTTTAATCTTTTAAAAAAATTTCATCTTTTCAATTATACTCTTCTTTAAGGCCTCATCTGTTTTAGCTTTTTTTTTAAGAGAAAATAACTTTTTTTAAAAAAATACATTTCATGAATTTTGTATGATACTTGTCTAAACTTTTAAAAATAATTAGAATTTAGAAAAAAACAAATATATAATTATTTTAATAAGATAATTTGACTAACTTCTGAAAATAATCTTATAGACGAAAGAAAATTTTTTAAGAACATGGAATACACGAAGATGTCATTAAATTTTAAAATAATTTAGTAATAAATAATTTTTATAAAAATTCAAGGAATATATTATAAAATTTAGAAATAAATAACTAATAATTATTTTTTATTATTGTAACTGAATATGAAATAATATCTGTTTTTTATAAAATATCTAAATTATCTAAAAATTATTTATTTTTTAATTTCAAACAAAGGGCCCTAAATATCTTTTATAAATATCCTAATAACGACAATTGAAATTTTAATACATAATTTTTTTAAAAAAAGAATAATAGATAAAGTAGAGGTATAATTGACAAAATAATTATAAAAATTATTTAGTGTTCTTTATTTTGATCCAAGCAAAACATTAAAAATAAAGAAAGGTATTTAGCAGGCGAAAATATAATAATGATATGAATCCACTTCCATTATTTCAAGATGCGGGCACACGCAGGTGAGAGGGAGGAGAGGGGTTAACCTGATACAAGAGCAATTCAATGAGCGCGACTTTGAGTTGGTTTGAACTGGACGTGCCCTTCCACTTATTACATTCACACCTCATTATTGACTCCGCTGCATCTTTGCGCCCGTTCTGTGATAGAGACATTGCAAACAGCTACACCCACAAACACATATCAACCCGTTATATATCATCATGTTTCTTACATTGCTCTCTCTCGTTTGTTTAAATGCCGCAGTGGGCTCCACGGGGTTTTTCATTCTCTATCAAGCCAATCTAATCATAATTTGATTAATTCAGTAGAAAGTTTCGAACCTTGAGGTTTTCAATATCACTTCTTTCAGGTTCCTCTGTGTTGAAATTGCTCGTCAGGCTAAGCACAGGACCTTGGCTTCGATGTTGCGTCGAAGCAGCATAGGCTAAATTGGGCTTGGTGTTCATCTTACCACTGAGAGTGAAGGCCCCAAGAACACAAGCCAGCACTAGAGAAGCTCTTCCCGCTCCTCTCACTATATTGTTCTTCCCGTTCTCCTCTTTCATCCTGGACCCCTCTGAGAATCTCTCGACCTCGACCGTACACTTCACATATGATGGACGTGAAACCAAGTGGCTTCCCTTGGAACTCAGGGAAACACTGAGAGAGCCGTGGCTTAAGCTTATGTGAACTCTGCTTGCAGAGGAGAGACGCCCTGGAGCCACAGGCAGAGGGCTTTGGCATGTGCGGATTGCGGAGTTCATCTTATGGGAAAACTACGAAAGACCCAGATTTTTTTCTTTTGTATTCAGTCGTGCTCAAGTTAACATCCTTCTATTCTATTTATATCCCAGTCTCTGCTATGCTGATACCGTTGCAAGACATCCTTTTCTAGAATGAAGCAAGGTATAAGTTATTGCTTCATTGCTTTCTACCCAGAATCAATGCTTTGAGAGGCTCACGACGTATACTCCTTTTGGTTTTTTCTGTGGCTCCAACATTTTCACACGAAGAGCGTCAATGCTTTGTATCGAAGGACAAAAAGTTATTCTTAGCTGTTTGCCTTCATATTACTCAATAAAAATGCAATATATGACAGCTTTTTCTTTTACAACTGATCAGCAGTGTAGTTCTTCTGCATGTTATAATTTTAATCAGAGAACTTGAAAGTAAAAATCTGAAAAATATTGTGTCTCGGGTATGTCCGGTAAGAAATACTTCTCTGGTTATCACAGTGACAATATGTTACACGCTTAAGATGAGTGATCCAAGCTTTAGTTGATTTTGTCAGCCTTCACTAGTTGCAGGGCATATATCATTGCTTGAAGTGTGAGATTTTTCACGGCAAAAGTGGAATATTAGTTTATAAGATTGCAAATTTTGAATCACTATTTTGACCATTTACATTACGGTTATTCAGTAGCTTCCAAAAACCAATCAATTCCAAACTGCTTCTACTTAAACTTGCAATGTCGGGGCCTTACCAGATCACTTACCGCCTATCAATCCTTTGATTTGGACGTATGGACCATACACGGATGGCACTGTGCCCTAAAATCGGGGTATTTATGATATCTCAAGAAACCAATAATATATACTTGAAGATGATCACGCCAGAAGAAATGGAAGGCAAAAAGTTTTTTTTTTTTAACATACTGATTTTTTTTTTTCTCCGAACACATGGAATTGGGAAATAACCAATTGAAATATGTCTTGTCTTTTTCCAGAGAAAAAGATATTGACATCATTACTCCAAACCCAACTCTTGGTCATTTCTGATACGAAGCAATAACGAAGAAGCAAAGCTTACGCTCCAAAACTTGATTCCCACCCACAGTATCAATGGTGGGACATATAAAGAATTGAATTTTCAATGTTATGAATTCTGATATTAATAAATAAGGCAACTTTTTTATTATCGTGTTCTGAAATTCAAACGTCAAGGGACTTCCCTAATTATACTCTTACAAGCCTTTTCTTTTACAACTCAGTAGAGTCCAAAGTTGTGCTTCTACATATTATAATTAATTTAAGGTTAAAATGTCTAGTGTCATAAACTTATATGTGGTGCAATTTCTTCCTTCAATATTTGACAATGATGTATTAGACACCCTAGTATTAAAAAAGTATAATTTTAATCATTAGTTGACTTAAAGATTATAGAAAATAACCCAAAAAATACGCTTAAGTACCTTATAAAAATTAATATCAATTAATTAAGTTCTTAGAATAGTGTGATAATTTATAAGTTTTTATCCAAAACATATTAATCCTTCTTAAAAAATTTACCTCTAGTATAAAAAATGTATTCGTTTATAAATAACACAATTTGTAGGAAAATTTATAAATTATCATACTATTTTGGAAACTTAATTGATATTAATTTTTATATCGTAATTATTTGTAATTTTATATGTTATTTTTTGGAAATTTTTAATATCCTTTTTAGTATTTTTTTGGGTCAACAAATAATTAAAGTTAATTTTTTTAATAATAAAGTGTCCAATATATTATTTTTGAATGTTGAAGAAAAAAATACACTTTATGTAAATTTAAAATATTAGATGTGTAAATAGTTTAGGGATAAAATGTTTTTTTTTTAACCCATTAATGTAAATAAAGGATTTGAAAGTAAATATGTGAAACATACTGGGCCTTGGGTTTGTCCGGCAAGAAATACTTCTCTGGCTTTCACGGCGACAGTATGTTACACGACGTTTAAGAGGAGTGGTCTAAGCTTTAGTTGCCTTTGTCAGCCTTCACTAGTTACAGGGCATAAATCATTGCTTAAAATCTAAGATTTCTCACGGCAAAAGCAGAGGATTCGCGTTGTGAATATATAATTTGCTCTACCCATTTGCCAAAGTCTAGAATAACTAAAACGCTTCATGTTATTTTCACAAGCTTGATAACTCATGGGAGAGAGAAGCGTGCATTTGCCCATCATCACTCAAAATGCCAGTCGCTTTCTTCATATATTTATATATACAGTCCCACTTTTCTTCTTCTGCAATTATTTTTCTCTACAACTCACGACAATGATACTTGCGACCCTGTACCTGTGAACAATTACATCATTGTCTCCTGTCCGTGTGGAAATGTGTGTGTGTGTGTAACTAATTATTTGCCCATCAGGTTGAAGATTGAGACCTTTCAAAGTTTGAAACTCAACCAGAAAAGCAAGAAACTCTCCCAAGAAAAGCAAGAAACTAATTATTGGTTCTACATCTGCTCGAACACACACAACTCCCTTATCGATACGTATACTTTATTTATGTATCTATGTATATATATAGCGTCTCGTGCCATTCACTATCTAAACTTAGCAGCACGTGCACGTACGGACCAAGTAAGCTAGCAACAGAGTCCCAGCAGCACAAGACTGGATATGGCATAAGAATGATTGGTGAGTAAATATTTACTGTCTTATCAACCCAGCTCTCTCCATTATGTGTGCGAATATGATTAATTTGTTCTTCGTCTGCTTTTTGTGTATTTTAACGACAAGTTGACGGCAAATCCTAAACAATTGAGAATTTTTTGTTGCTGCTGGTCCAATATTGGAGGGCCAAAATTGGGTGCCTGATCTTTTATCCTAATCTGTCATTAGAGAAACACAAAGTGCTACGTGTAATTTTACGCAGCCCTAACACATGCATTTTATATACACGCACATGCACGTGTGTGCGTGTGTATCCTATTCCCATCCACATTCAATGTCAAAAAGACAAGGAGCGTACAGTGTACGTGTAGCCCCTTGGGCAGCACCAGCAGCAAAATGCTAGTCGACCGTAAAATTCACTAATAATTAACAACAGATCCAGAAACCTGAAACACAACACGGATTTGTCCCAGTGTCACCGCACAGCACTCCCACATCTTCTTATATATACAGTGTTCTGTTTAGTGAACGTGAACGACCTGTACATACACACAATTGTATATATACGGTCCCATGTAAACTGAAGAACTTATCCTGATAGAATCAGAGATAGAGTAGAATCATTATTATCATTATCCTCTAGAAAAAGAAAAAGATGGAAGATCATGAAATTTCCTAGTGTCTAGCTATAAGAGGAATAGATATGTAAGAGAGAGAGGCTTTACAATTCGGGAGTGCCAAGGAACAGTACTAGGTAATGGCTGAAATGTCCAAGAAATTAATGAAAGCAGCTAGCCAGCGCAATCAACTAGATTCAGCGGATAGCATTAAAGCTCATCATCGGAGTTGAGAAGTCGACAATCGATCAATCACAGTGTTGTCCTGTTGTAGAAAGCGTCAAAATAATGCGCGAGAAAAGAAGAGAAAGTGTTACCACTGAAGTTAATAGAGACAGAGTGTGACAATACACAAATCAAGTTCATAGCTAAAACAACATTCGACGGCGTTAATTTTCCCGGAAAATAAAAAGGGAAAAAGAGTGGAGTTAGATGACATCGAAATGTTGAAAAGCGCGCGAGAGTTCCATTCGAGTTTGGACACTGTAGGTTGAGTGTTGATCATGGCAGGGGAGTGTTGAGGTGCCTTCTCTTTCCGAGCCCGCCATCATCATTCTTGCTTCGGCTTGACCAGTGACCACAGCGGTCAGAAAGCTACGTCCCTACGTGGTTCTTTCCGGGCCTCAATTAGGGGACCGGCCAAGTGAATTGAACGTGTAACGAAAGAAACCAACACGTGTCGAAATTACAGGTCATTCCCATCCTGTCCCATCGTGGAATGTGCACACGTGGACACCTAGGGAACGTCGGCATAGTGTGCGGATCGAGGATGTGAACTGAATGCTCCTTACATTTTGCAGCGGAGGGAGTAGTGTGTAATGGCTTCCATGTTGAGTCCAGAATCATATTTGTAATTTGACAGTACTGTATGTATTGCAAGATATCAGAGTAAAGAGAGAAAAGAAAGAAGAATATTTTCTGAATAGATAAATCTTTTTGCAGTGATACTCATCTGAATTACGGCCTCGATATTTATATCAGTCTCTCAACTCTAGACTTAACCACTTGTTTTAACAGTAAACTCTTTTTAAAACTAACTCTACTATCTGCGACAGCAACTGGGCTTACATGATTGGGCCAGATACACAGGGGATTGGGCTTCATGCTCTCTAACACCCCCCTGGTGGGGGCAAAATTAAGTAGCTGTAAAGCTAAGATCTACAGAACCCAAAACATTTAATTGTTCACGAAGAGTCATGAAAGGAGCAAATGACAGGGGCTTCGAAAGTATGTCAGTTACTTGTTCTTCTGAAGGTACGTGTCTCACATCAAGTATTCCACTTTCTTGATTTATGCCCTGAGATGAGCGGAAACACTTGCACATGTCTCACTCTGGGATCGAAATGTAATTTTAAAATTTTTTAAAACTCACTAGTGATTAAGTTGCATCTCTTGTCCTTATTTGAAATTCTCTCAATTTTATAATTTGTGGGTTTTCATTAATCAATTAATTGACAAATTATCAAACGCAGATTTGCCTGATATAATATAAGGTGACTGATTTATTATTCTAATTGAGATCTGGAGATGATTGCATTGGGTCCGTTTAGATTTCAGTTGAGTATAATAGATTATGAAAATAATTGATTAAGTGATAGATTTTAATCATAATTGATTATGTTATAACGTAATTTGTTTGGATATTATTTTTTTAAAATTAATTTTAACTTAATATATGTTAACAACTTTTTTAAAGATTTAAAATTTGAATTTTACTAAGAAAAAAAAAGAGAAGAGAAGGGAGTTTGATTTTTTTTTTAATAAAATTTTGTGCTTTTTTATAATTTTTTTGGACCTTTTTA